CTGGAACTGAAAATGTGCTTCCTGGCGGCTCTGGCCTGCATCTGCCTCCCATTTTCAGCACCTGAATGATGGGCGCAGCCGCTCCCACCACTGTTCTGCTGTGGTGCTTTCCGGGGCGGGCGCCAAGGCCACAGTCACCCGCGGTCACCAGTTGTGGCCCGCAGTGAGGTCAAAGGAATCTCAGACCCACCGGGTGGGAAGCATCGTTTGCTCACACTGCCCAGCCCTGGCCAGGCCCTCTGCCTGGTGGACTGTCCGAGCACAAGGAGGAGACGTCGGAAGCAAGCCCGGGCTGGGGTGTGCGGAGCCGCGTCTGCGAAGGAAGAGCCTCTTCCCTCCGGGCGGAGCCTCCCAGGCGCTACAGCCCGGAGACCGCCATGGAGGGCGTTCCCGACGGCAAATATAGAATAACTAAACCTTTTGCAGAAACACAAGCTACATCTAAGAATTCTGCATTGAGGGGCGTTCATCTGAGTGTAGACATGACGCGCTCTGCAGCGCGCCCTTCGCTGCTGCTCCTCCCTGGTGGCTCGGCCACCCCCACTGGGGAGGGCCAACCCTGGCCAGGGAGCTGCCCACAGGGCGCTGCAGACCTCTCCTGTCCCCCCGCTGCTCCCCTCAGCAGGAGATTTCAGTGGATCCGCCTGCTCTGCTCCCCACTGTGTCTGGTGACTCCTCTCACCCCTGCACCTCTGACCTGCACCCCAGCTCTTGTGTGCATAAATAAATACATCTTTAAAAAATGAAGATAATCTGTTAGTGCTTTTTAGCTTCCATTCAGGAGCATTAATGGCCAGAGATGGAGGCTCCGGGAAGTTTAATTTCTTTGGGGTAAACGTGGCCAGAGGGGACCTTACCGCAGGGACTTCGCCTCACCTGGCGTGGCGCGCTGGCCGGGGAAACCCGCCCTGCGTGGGGAGAGCCGCGGGCGTCCCGCAGAAGAACCAGGCTAGCCCTTGGAGGGCGCCCTGCGTGGCGCCGGCTGGGGGAGGCTTGTTCCAAGCTCCAGGCTCCCCGGACGCTGTGCTCACCTTCTCCGGAACCTGGACTCCTCGAGAGAGTCCGCGTCCATGTGCGCTGGGAAAAGCCCAGGTACAGGCAGCCCCGGATGAGACGGACACCGACGCTTGCTGGCCTCCTCCCCACGGAGGCTCCCCATCACGAGGGGGCAGCCCCCTGTCCTCAGTGCCCTGGCTCCTGCCGTGCCAGCAGGAGGAGACAGACAGGGAGTCTTCACAGCCTTTCCTTAATGGGGCGATGGTGTCCCCACATCAAAGATTCAGGCCTGGAGGCCCCTGAGCACCAAGGCTGGGGCGCCAGGGCCCTGCGCAGAGGGCTGGCCCTCCCTGTGCCACGTCCCACCGGGTGCTGTACGGCCACAGGCCCCTCTGTGGGGACATCTCGGGTGTAAAGTCCAGGTGTGTTCACCTGCCCCTAGGATGCCATTCTGCAGACCTGGCGCTTGCTGAGGCCCAAAGCTGTGGTTTGGGTGATGAGACGCAACATTCCGAAAGGGACCGGGAGGGACGTGCCAGGGCTGAGGCGGGCAGCGGCGACAGAGGGCGGCCACTCCCAGGGCAGCTGGGGGAGCCTGCCTCCGGGGCTCAGGCTGTGACGGGGACTGTGCCAGTGCCCCCTGGGCCGCCAGCTCCTGAGCCTGTCCCAAGAGTGTCGGGGCACACCCTGGCCCTGAGCCCGGCCCCTCGGCCTGGACTGGACTTGGCGTCTAAAGATAACCCAAGGCAGGTTTCTCCTTGCCTGATTGTTTGTTTTTGACAAATGACACATCCAGAGAATTTCCTTTGGAAAGTTCCTAAAAGTAGATTGTGCTAAAAACTCAGGGTGGGGTGAGCTGCCCACGATGTCCCGGGTGGTTTCCTGTGCCCAGGTCTTGTCCGCACTCTGCTCACGAGGCATGCATGGTCTAGCCACCCCCCTTCCAGGATTCTGGAATTTTCCAAGCCCTACTCATCCTCTTCTCGCCATTCCCTTGAATGAACGCCCCCTCGCCCGGCTTGGGCTGAGGAGGTCCTAGAGGTGAGGGCTGTGGCAGCTCTGACAACGCAGAGGTCCAAGATCCAGAAGTTAAAGCTACTTGGACAAAGAGCTAATCCTGCTTATTTCGTGAGCATACTGTGATTATATTTTTAATTTTCCTTCTCCACTCTCAAAATGCATTTTCCAGCTTGTTAATTCATTGGTAAACAGCCCTAAGTTCAAGCCTGAATTTTTAAAAATCCACGAGAAATGTACACAGCAACTTCTGTTGCGTGGCGTTTTCTTGGCACTGAAAAATCTAATATCTTTCTTGGCAAAACCCATAATTTTACATTTTATGGGTTTTAGTTGTTTTTTCTAAAAAAGAAGAAACCTTACTGGCAGGTTTTCCTCTGAACAGTCCTGCAATCAATTCTAGTAAGTTTGTGCGAGGGAAAAATGCACTGGGACGCCGCCCGGTGACTTGGTTTCCACTCGCAGGGACAACGTCAGAGAAGCTCGATTGTTGTTCCTTCTGGGACAGGCTGCTGAGTGGTGGAGGCCAGAACTCAGATCCTAAGCAGCCCACACCTGGGGCCTGGCAGCAGGAATTTAACACATTTGCATTCTCCAGGGGAGCCCATTAAATAGTGGAATCACCTGGTGGCACAAGGGGCTAAGCATCAGCACTATGAAGCTGTTGGCAGCCTCTGCAGCACGAGCTTGATCCCCCCGCTCGATCCCCAGCCAGGGAGCTACCCACAGGGCGCAGCAGACCTCTCCTGACTCCCCGCTGCTCCCCTCAGCAGTGTGTTTCAGTCAATCTGCCTGTTCTGCTCCCCACTCTGTCTCTGGGGAATCCTCTCACCCCCGAACCTCTGGCCTGCACCTCGGTTCTTGTATGCATAAATAAATAAATCTTTAAAAAAAATAGTGGAATCATCCTCCTCTTCAGTGAGATAACGCAAGGCCCTAGTCCCAGGGCTTCGCAATGTATTGGGGTTCCACAGCAATTCTGAGTTGTTAAAGCTGAGCTCCTGGGAATTACTTTCCTAATTTTGAACTGTAATTGACCTCACATTTATCTTCACCGTTGTGGTTCATGATGAATCAGGTGAAACTTTCCAAGGGTTTGGGAGCGGACTGTGTTCTGAAAAGCAATCCCCTCGATCACATGTGAGGATTCTGCTTCTATAATACGAGGTACTTGGTGTGGCTCCAGAAGAAATACATGCCAGCGGCCAGGTGCCAGTCACTGTGGTTCTTCTGAATTCCGGAGGAAAAACACCGACTCACAGTCCCCCTCTCACTTCTTGCTCTTTTCCATAAACAGTTTCAGTTACTGAAGACAGAATTTCATTTCAGGCTCCCAAATAACTGATGGAGAAGACAAAGCACCCCCTCCTGTGAAAGCACTTTGCCCACAAAGTGGGCATTCATTTCCCACCACAGACTTGACAAGGTTTGGACAACCTCGTGCTCAGTGGCATCTTTCAGGCCAGGACCATCTTCCAGCATTTTCCAGTGTGTTACCAGGTAAAAATGACACCCTCGAAGGGCTGCTACTTCCTTTCCTGTTCAAAGCAAGCCTCCTTGAGGGTTTGCCAAGCTGAGTATCAATTTATATAACCCGAGAAGGCGGGGCCCGTAACAGGGTTTTGACTCAAAGTCCAATTTTCAGCAGCGAGGCGTGCCAGGAAAATGCCCACATTCAACTGTCTGCTTCGTTCTTGTTGCTAAGTATGTTTTTGTAATTTAAGTAATTCCATTAAAATGTCACATCCAATGACATCTGAGATGAAAAGGTAGAGAAATTTGATGCGAAATATAGAGCATTATAGCAAACTTCATTCCAATACAGTTGCTTGAAATCTAACTTGCTATTACCATGTATTCTGGGAACGGTGCCTGCTAATCTGCTGCCACAGGAACAGCCCCGGCTCAGACACCTAACCCGAGAGAATGAAGCAGAACACGCCTGCATGAGGAAGTAAGGAGCAAAACAAACTGGGTCATACCTGCAATTCTCGCTTTCATTTCAGGGGCTCTGCTGTCTCACAGGAGGGGAGGCACAGGCTGGGGTCCGGTCTTCACAGCTGTGCAAAGTGGCTCGTGGACAGAGCCGATGGAAAGGCAGCTGCACAGCGTGTTCAACTTCCAGATATTTCTAACTCTGGGATTTTGAAACGATGACCTCTCTACGAGCTGGAACCAGAAACGACAATGGGCGCCTGACAGAGACCCTCCCACCACCCCACCCCGGCGAGCGGCGGCATCGCCACGGGGCACTGTCTCTGGAAGAACACGGGGGATTCGTGTCATCCTAAGGTGCAATCCAAACCCTCCGGAGGACCCCATGCCACGTGTCCCATGACAGCTCGTCAGCGCCGTCACGCACACCTTAGTGTGGACGGGCCCGGGGGCAGAGGGCAGGGCGGATGGCCAAGCACGCGCGCCACCCAAATGGAACACAGGTAACACTCCACCCAGGAGACCTACCCGGTGGGCCTCCCCCTAACGAGGGGGGTCTTGTTACACACCCAGCCCACCACGAGCAAAGCGACACCCAACATGGCGCGCAGCAGGACGGGAGGGAGCTGGCTTTCAAGCCTCCCTGCAATCAGGTTCAGCAAGGCTGACTCCGCCAGGCTCAAGGCGTCTGCTTTTCTCTGGCAAAGGCCGCACAGCAAGGACAGCGCGTGGGGACTTCTCCAAATGAAGAGCCACTGCCCACCCGAGTCATCGCCAGAGATGAGCAAAGGAAGTCGTGTGTGCGTCCGTCGTGCAGAGGATCTGCCTGAGCCGCCCCCGACCACTGTGCTTGGCCCGGGGTGTTGTGCCAGTGGAAGCACAGGGGCTCCAGGTGTGGAGGAGATCAGAAGCTCCCGAGGCCTCTGCCTGCCTTTAACCCCTTCCTGCGTGGGCTCTGAGCCGCTTCCCCAGCCCCCAACAGGGTATCAGCAACCTGCCTGCAGAGAACATTTCGGAAAAGAAACAAAGTAATGAAGTAAAATTTGCTTTTCTCCTTAAAACAGTGTTTATTGATTTCCAGTAAGAATCAGGGCAGTGACCGTCCCCGGGGGTGCGGGGCGCGGCTTCTCCGGCCCAGGTGCCCTTCAGCACATGTCACGTCTCACCTGCTGGAGGCTGGACCCTTCAGGTGCGGGCCCCGCGGGAGCCAGGGCCTGCACCCCACGGGCACGGAGCCGGCGTGGCGTCTCCACGAGGTAGCGTCGTACACGATGCCCGCCCTGCTGAGGACGCGTCGGGCGCGCTCCGGGGCGGTGGACGAGGCTTGCTGGCTCCGGAGAGGCTGCGAAGGCCGCCCGGCGATGAGCTCCACCCAGTGGACTCGGCCACCAGGGGCCCGAGCGGTGTCTGGCCCAGAACAGGGCCGGTGGTCACGGCATCAGCCCCGGCGGCTGCTCCTGCCGTCATGTCTCGAAACTTCTTGGACCGCTCTGACCCAGGGTGAGGTCAGTACAAAATATCCTTACACGCGATTAATACAAAAAGCTTCCCATGAAGGAACTAAGCAGAATCACAAGCTCTAAACACTCATTTCTCCAGAGACGCAAGGAGAGGGCTGGGTTGGCCGGGGCCCCTGTTTTGGTGCCAAGCCTGGAGAGTGAGGCCAAACCAGCTACATACAGCCCGAAGCCCATTCACTCTGTTTTTGTTGAGAATGAGGTTCTTTTTATTGTCATTTTTCTTGGACGTAGGGAAAAAGAAGAAGTTTTAAATCAAGAATCAAAATACAGTGAATCTGGAAGGCAGCCGGGAGCAGAACGGAGGCGTGAGACGAGCGGACCCAGGTGGGAGCCTCGCCTCATAACCCCGCCTGCTGCTCGTGACACTGAGCCGGCTCCACGGCTGAGTTCACGGTCGCCCACGCCCAGGCGCAGCTCTTCACTTCCAGCGATGCCGGACGAGAGAGGACTCATCATTGACAACCTCGGGGTCCCGGGGGAGGTGCCGGCACCGCGACGGAAGCAGCAGCAGGATGATTAAGACCAGGAGGATGACCCCGCACACGCTCATCAGCGCGTAGGAGATGATCCACAGCACGGGCCCGTGCAGAGGCAGGGTGGGCACGCAGTTGCTGGCCAGGTCCTCTGTTGAAAAGGGCCCGGAAATTTCCGACACGGGAGCACCTGCAATTTCTGAGACAGAAGAGGGGATCCACAGCTGTGAAATGAGCACTGCCCAAGGGACACCACGCTTGGCGCTATTGAGCCAAGGCCACATGGGTGCTCAGGGTCCAACATCCAGGCACCCGAGCACACAGCTCCCCCGCAGTCCTGGGGCAGCACACCCTGAGAGGGCCTGGCCCCTGCGGCTAGGATGGCAGCAGGTGAACGGGCGTGGAAGGTGCGTATGGAGAGAGATATGCAGAGGGCACTTGGGGAAGCACTGGGGGCGGGCAGAGGGCTGGCGATACGGCACTACGCAGGCGTAGGGGAGGCCGTGCCTCCGGGGAGAGGAGGAGGAGGAAGCAGCAGGACAGCAGCCACCTCTGTACCAGGAAGCACGGCCTGCAGCGGGGTGTGCCCTGGCCGAGTCCACCCGAGGTCCTGCTCTACGGGGGTCTGCAAGGGACAGGGCCTCCGCTCCTCCTGCTTGCCCAGCCCCCGGCAGGTTACAAGCCTCCCTGGGGCAGCTTGGCCAGGGAACCCCGCACTGCCCTGCACAGGCCCCAGGCCGCAGCTACACTGTACAGGGGCCCAGAATCAAGACTGCCAAGTGGGCACAGCATCGAACTTGTATGTGCTAGAGACAGAGGAATGGCTGGAACCACTGGGAGACTTGGCAGCAGACTCCTGGATAAGGCTCTGTGGGGGAGGAATTCGAGAAGGTCTCTTAAAACAGAGTTGGGGGCCTCCCTGGTGGCGCAAGGGGTTAAGCACAGCACTATAAAGCTGTCTGCAGCCTCTGCAGCCTGAGTTCGATGCCCGGCTGGCCTGGGAGATACCCACAGGGTGCAGCAGACCTCTCCTGTCTCCCTGCTGCTCCCCTCAGCAGTGTATCTCAGTAAAGCTGTCTGTTCTGCTCCCCACTCTGTCTCTGGTGAGTCCTCTCACCCCCCACACCTCTGGCCTGCACCCAGTTCTTGTATGCATGAATAAATAAATCTCTAAAAAAAAAAACAGACTTGGGGGTTTCATGTATTTCCACTAGATTTATCTGTCCTTTCAGAAATAAAGGATTTGTTCAGCATCTTAAGTTTTCCAAGGAAAGCAGAACAGGCCTCAGTATCCATATGGACTGGCAGAAATGAATCGGCACCAGGAAAACGGCTCGCTCAGCAACCAACTTTTCTGTAACGGCAGCCTCCAGACCCTCAGGCCGGCCAGATAAGAGCCTTTCTTTTTTAGGGAAAGAAGAGCCTCCCCGCTGCACATGTGGGCTCTGTTGAGGAGGCTCATGGCCTTCTCCAAGACTGCTAGGAGGGGAGGCCAGCAGAGGAGCCTGCTGCTGAGAACAGGGGGTGCAGTGCCCGGAGGAGCAGGGGCCTCTGAGTCAGCTAACTAAGCAGGGGCCTCTGAGTCAGCTAACTACCCACTAGGGCCCCACGGCCCTGCGTCTCCTCTGTGGTCACTTCCCACTGGAGCACCAGCTTCTACATTCACTCCGTGTCCTCTGCAGTCACTGTTAAGCTCTGACACAGACTGGGCACTTGGGACAAAGGTCCCGAGCCCTCAAGCCTTAAGTGATGATTATCTGGGCATTTGTCCATTCCTGGCGCAGAGCATGAACATGCAAGTATTTAACCAGCACTTACATAATGGAAATTTATGGCCATAGTGCGTACTTAGGGCAGGACATTTGAAAATGTCAATAAAAACACCCATAAATTCATTTCTCAGAAAGCCAATATTTATACTTGAGAATATCATCTGTGAGGTCATGGCCCATCGATTTTTTTAAACAGAGATGAGATCAGGTGGTCCAAGTTGATTTGTATCACTTACAAAAAGTCATCAAAATCTTTTCCTATCAGGGCCTCCCCGGTGGCGCAGTGGGTTGAGCGCAGTGCCGTGAAGCTGTCTGCAGCCTCTGCAGCGCCAGTTCGATTCCCGGCCAGGCCAGAGAGATTCCCCCATCGCGTGGCAGACCTCTCCTGCCTCGCCCGCTGCTCCTCTCAGCAGTGTCTTTGGTCCATCTGCCTGTTCTGTTCCCTGTTCTGTCTCTGGTGAATCCTCTCACCCTCCCGCACATCTGGCCTGTACCCCAGCTCTGTATAAATAAAAATAAATCTTAAAAAAAATAAATCTTTAAAAAATCTTTTCCTATCATTTAATTTTCATCCATGTTATTTTTATGATGTCGCAAAAATCTGTATCGGAGGGTCACACCGGGTCACCAGCCCCTTGTTGACCACAGATGTAAGCAGCAGTATTTCCTCTGTTATGACTGTGGGCCCGGGAAACACTGTGCCCCCAAGTCTTTGCTGATGGTCTCCTTTCTTCAGACTGAGCTACTACAATTAAATCTTGGGTCAAGAGGAGCTCACTTTTAAGCATCAGGTTATACTCTGAGAAAGTGACCACAGAAAGACGAAGGCAAGAGCAGGCTCACCCAGAGGATCTGGGAACCCCCACTTTCCATGCCTCCCCAGCTGGGTGATGGTGGTCCTCACGCCGGGATGCCCTGGTGAGTGGTGGGAGGAACCATTTTAAAAGGACACTGACTGGCTATTTACACGTCTATGTAATGTCTACCTTTTCCTCGCTGATGTGTAAGAATCCTTTATATGATCAAAACTGATGTTGTAAATGTCTTTCCACCGGGGCTCATTTGTCTTCTTAAAAATGTACTTTATAAATAGAGGTGCTTTCAGGGGTCAAATCTGAGAATAAAACATACTTAGTACAAAGACAACAATCTCCAACTACAACAAAGCGTAAGGAAGTTAAATATCACTTGAGGGCCGACTGCGTCCCGACAAGATGGAGTAAGGAGGACCAGACGCAACCTTCAACCCGGAGCGACTGAATAAAGGACAGATGTGTGGAAAAGAGGCTCTGAAGACACGGGGCCTGGGGTGAGGACAGAGTCAGCGCTGATGTCCGGGCAACAGCTGCCCTGTCTGGCTGACTGGAAAAAGCCCCGGGTTGTGGCTCACCAGGGTGCCAGGCAGACGCCAGCGGTTCCCCTGTGCTGGGGAGGCAGAGGCAGATGCGGGCAGCACCACCGTCAGGGGCCACAGCAGAGCCCGGAGGGGAGAGCACCGGGAGGGACCCGCATCTGCAGAGCCCGCCCCTGCAGTGAAAGCGGCACTTAGGGGGTGGACGGAGCGGCACCTGGAGCTCCCGGGGCCAGGGCAGGGCCTAGGCCAATTGCCTCCTGTTTACTGTTCCCCAAAGTGAGAAAGAACAAACCCAATCCACGGGGAATTGTGTCGGCAAAGCCACACTGATGAAGAAACGGGAGGCGTGGGCAGACTGCACAGTGCAGGACACTGCTGAGCGAGCAAGATCCTGGCCTTTTTATTCTTAGAATAATCACAGAACACCAGTGACGGGGGCAGGGGATGAGGAGAAAAAGGCGGGTGAAACTGAAAACGTGCTTATGTCATCCAGAGCTTCGGGGGGACATGAGTCTACTGACCAGATAATTCTTATCTGCTTGACGACCAAGTGCTGGCCTAGAAACCAGACCCCAGACCTCTGGCTGTGGTTCCGATCTTATCAACAAAGCGTTTCACTGATCAGCTTCTGGGGTCCCTTGTTATACCTCAGTCAAGGCCCCCCAGGCGTTTCCGGTCACTCCTCGTGATGCCCGCCCTTCCCGGGGTGACCCAGCTTCTGCTCTTGATCTCTTGATCGATTTGAAGAGCGCCTTGCAGGGTTGGGCTCCCATGACTGACTGACCGGGCAGTTCTGACCTTGCACAGGAACGCAGACCCGCAGGGGACACACGTGGTGGCCGAGCAGTCCGCATAGGATTAGCAGACCACGCGGGGCATCCCTCTGAGTGCTCAGGGTCTTTCCTCTATGACAGGCAAGACGAGCCTGGCCTGGCCAAGCACAGACAAACCCGCTCTGGCTCATCCAATGAAGCTCCAAAGCAAGACAGCAAAGAGTCAAACTCCAAGTAACGTAACTGCAACCCAAAATTTCAAAAATGTTTGTAGGAATATAGAAGTATCCAGCACCCAATAAGGGGATACTCACAATGTCTGGCACCTAAGAAAAAAAATGAGCAAGATTGCAAAGAAACAGGAAAACACACTTCATCATGGGGGGGGGGGATCAAGCCATTGAAATTTAGCAAGAAATGCCACAGATGATAGAACTATTTGGCTCCTAAGGCAGGTATTGTAACTGTGTGCCATTTAGGACACGAGAGGAGAGTTTAGGCATGTCGGGCGCACTCTGGAGGAGACCCGAATGCAGCTTGCGGAGAAACACCTGCACATGTGGGATGAGGAAAAGCACACCCCACGCTGGCAGCAGGAGATACACTGCAGGGAAGTCCAGTGCGCTCGAGAGTGCAGTAAAGGAAGCTATGCCAAAAATACAGAGGGCAAAATAATGGACAAAACAAGACAAAATAAGAAAAGGACATGCATTATCCACAGGACACGAACAGGGAATCAGAGGACCTGAGTGAGAAGAGGGGAGAGAGGCAGAAAAACTATTGAAGAAATAACAAAAAAAATCCAAATTTGATGGAAACTCTAAAACAGGTGTCTCAAAGAGCCCCTAGGCCAAGAATCATGAAGTGACCACTTTGGTGAATTTCTAAAAATCAATGACAAAGAGAATAAGAAGAGTGAGAGAAAAGAAATGCAGAATGGAACAAAGAAAGGGATTCTAGGAGCTCTCACATGAGAAATACAGCAACCGGAGAGCGGATCAAATCGACAACTTTAAAGGACCGGCCAACTTAGAATTCCATGGCAATCAAAAATATCCTTCAAAAATGTAGATAACACGAGGATGTTTCAGACACACACAGGCTGAAATATTTCGTCAGTGTGTGTGCAGGCACAAGGGATCATCATCCAGCATCAAAAAAAAAAAAAAAAAAAAAAAAGAAGTCTTGCCTCATGGACGAGGCTGGAGGATTAAGCCAGACACAGAAGGGCAAAAACTGCGAAAATCTCACTTGTATGCAGAATCTAAGACTCAAATTCACAGAAGCAGAGCAGAGAATG